ACATAACCCCTTCATGAACTCACCTCTTCAATTATGACTACAAAACGCATGTACAAAAAATGTAAGTTTTGTGCTAACAATGAACACAATTCACTGAGTAAGACATAAGAAAAAATCAAGCGTTTAATGACGAATGAAAATCTCGGTTTCTTTAAAGCTAACGAGCTCGCACCAAAAATCGGTGGGGTTTTCAATAATAGAATAAAAGGTAACACAGAGGAAATTTCCAGATTTTCAATCTTATCAGTAGTACCTAGCAATTTTTCAAAACACCTCCAGTTCAAAACACCTCCAGTCCCCAAAATAAAAGAAAACAGAGGCGCTGAGTTGCCGAAAGTCATATGGTTAAATTTAAACGATCTTATAGAGAAATTATAGGTTGAGTGTAAGAGCGTGGCTGTTTTTGTTGCAAAACAACCAAATATGTTCCAACAAAAAAATATCAAGTCCAACCTGTAAGGGGCCTAACTAACTCTTTGAGCTCAATGAACCATAGATGGAGATGTCTTTGAATAATTAGGAGAGAAAACTTTGACCCTATAATTTTTAAGAGAAGATTAAAGTGTAGGAGCAGTAGGAGTAAAGAAATATTTGGTTCTGATACTTCATGTGAGGAGAAAACGTTCTTACTTTTGAAACCTTGTTTCCCTATAGATTTCTGCTCATGACAGTTTTCAGTATCTGGATTGTGTCGTCTTCCGCACAAAAAAAAAACAATTTGTGCTTGCTTGTAATTCAATTTTGGTGAACGACTTTGAGAGTTTTACTGATACTTTGACTGCTTTGAAGACTGAGCGAATCTTGATTGACTTTCCTTATTTGTAGAACTGATTGCGACTTCATTTGATGTACATTTGTATTTTGTGGAATCNTGATATTAAATTGTGGAGACGACTTTGAGTTTTTCTGCATCGTAAATATACAAAATTTCAGCTGGAATATACGATATTTGAAAAAAAAATTGTAATTAGATTGCAGATTTTTTGGAGATAAAAAATTCTTTCATCTTTACCTTAAGTTATGATCTGTCAGTTTGACAAGCACACCTAACTTGTCAAACTGAATTTGTGTCATACAAAGAACGTTTTGGGACATTTTAATTCAATTAAATGATATAGATATAGAAATAAAATACTTCCACTTACTTAATGTATTAATATCAATACATTAAGTAAGTAGAAATTAGACAAAGTATTTTATTTCTATATCGATATCATTTAATTGAAGATGAATTTCCACAAAATAAATAAGTCATCAATATCACAAATCACACATTTGAATTCCTTAATTACCGCAAAGCAGTTTTTCAGTTTGTTCTACCACTACTAGCCATGACTGATTTCATATACCTCTAGCTTTGGCTGCACTGAGAACACACAAATTCTACCATCATCAAAAGTAGCTTCAACAAGTTCTTCATCTTTTTTCTCATTACGTCCAACTTGCCAAGAAATATTCCATACAGGTTCAAATGTCGCCATATTTTCACCGACTATCTCTTTGTCTCTGCTCGAGACATTCAAAACTTTCACAGACCCATTGTCGAAACCAACACCCAGTAAAACTGGATTAGATTTGGAAAATTGCAGGGAGGTAACAGGTACGTCGAATGTGTATCGACGTTCTGGCTGAACAGGGTTCTTAATATTCCATATCAACACCAAACCAGTTAATTTATCAGTATAGTAAAATTTTCCATATCCAACTGCTAAAACATCTCTGTTTGCCGGATTCCAATCAATCGAATTCACACATAAACCTGAGACATAAATAAAAGTACGTCAGAGCTTTTACAAGCTTGTTCAATACATGTGATTGATGTGGGTGAATCAAAGTGTATACTTTTAAAAATATCACTAATAGAGCATCAATGAGTCACAAAAACTGTCTGCATTATCACCTCGTTATTCCGACCAGTTTATTATTTTCCAACATGTGTGTGTTTGGCATGTGCTCTATGTGTGTTGTGTTTGAAAAAAATATATGTTTTTCTGTTAACCAGCTGTCGCAACCCTACGAACGAAAACCCTCAGAAGTCGAAACTTGTGCGAGCTAAGGACTAACGAGGTCTTACATTTTAACGTGTGATTCCTAACAAGTGAAAATTGATCGTTCAGCCTGTGGCTTGAACCACCGACCAACACGGCGGTCGATTTGAGTGAGTGAACAAAGCACCCACGTCCAACCGATCGGCTACCGACCGACCATGGTTTGTATAAACACTTGGGAATGTAATAATTTTGTTTTCTCGAAAAAAGTTTCTATAGCAATGCCTCACATTGAGACTGAAAATCAGTCCTATTTTTCTTTTTGGATAATGAATATTTTTCGAGCATTATGAGTATTACCTCATTATACTGAGGTGTAACTGAATAAGTGTAAAAACATTTAAGGAGGTGATTCCTCATCGAAAAAAGGATAGGAACTTTCATATAAAGAAACTTCATTGGAGCATCCCTTGTTAAGNTTTTTTTCGATGAGGAATCACCTCCTTAAATGTTTTACACTTTTTTAGTTATACCCTGTATTATATTGCAAAAAATATGAGAGAGCATAATATACGTTAAGTAGTTGGCTATAGAAAAAGCAAATTTACTAGCTGAACAATTTGTGTCTCACTCCAGTCTATTTTCTAGGAAAGGCACCATCCACTATTCCCACACTAGAATCCACAATGTCGGAAATTACTTTTCGACAACGTCTAGCTTAATATCAACAAGGTGTCTGGTCCTGATGAAGTGCCAGCCATCGTACAGTATTTTGCAGACTTTTCAATCTATCTTACAAGTTAGGGGTTTTTCCTTTTTGTTGGAAGATTGCTTGCTTTCAGCCTATTCTCAAAAAGGGCAAAAAAAATCTTCCAAACAACTATAGACCAGTCGCTTTGCTATCAGTGATATCAAAAACCCCGGGATCTATATTGTCTCCAACTCTCTTTTTATTGTATATCAACAACTCACTGGAAAAACCAAGAATCCAATATATTGCTCTGCTGACGACAGCACACTTGTCTCGTCATTCCATTTAGATTCCAGGACATCGGCTGCAGATGCACATCTTCACCAGAAGCAGGAGGTTGCATATCTTAATGGGGATCTAGAAGTGATTTCGAATTGGTGTGAAAGTAATTAGGTTCAATTGAATGTCACAAAAACCTAGGCATCGGTTTTCTCCACAGAGATAAATGTCTCCGAACCAGATATAATAATGTCAGGACAGACAATTTTGCTTTTTGCTTCGATTAGTTTGTTGGGGGTTGAAATGGACACCAATATGTCTTGGCACAATCATGTCGCTGAAATTGCAAAGGCTGCTTCTCAAAAGCTTGGAAATTCTTCCGAACCAGAAAACTGTACATACCCCAGCCACTTTTGATGCTTCATAAAGCTCAGATCAGACCTTTCGAGTATTGTTCTCATGTATGGAGGTCCGCCCCTAAGCATACCCTGAAGCTGTTGGATTATATTCAGAAAAGAGCCATTCGCCTGATAGGGAACTAAAACATCACTTGTCTCTCTTTTATAGATACAGGTTGGTCGGTAGCTGGTCGGTTCGACGTGGGTGCTTTGTTCACTCAGTCAAATCGACCGCCGTGTTGGTCGGTGGTTCAAGCCCCAGGCTAAACAATCGATTTTCACTTGTTATCATCCAACCTGTGTTAGGAATCACACGTTGAAAAGTAAGACCTCGTTAGTCCTCAGCTCGCACAAGCTTAGACTTCTGAGGGTTGTCGTTCGTAGGGGTGCGACAGCTGGTTAACATAAAAACAGATTTTTCATGAGAGGTGTTCAAGTGACTTGGCTCACTAGATTCCACCAAGAGCGGTACATATCAGAAATACACAATGGACTGTGGCTGTTCATCGTTTAGAGGTTCACCTCAGTACACCTCGAACTTAACTGTAGGTATGTGGAATAAACTTCCTGAGAACGTTTTTTCAAATGAATTTAATCTCCAGCGATTCAAATCCAACGTGAATCGTTACTTTCGCACTACTTTCGCACAGGCACCGCTCTTAGAGCACCTGAAGTGCTTGTGTGCTGCCCTTGAAAAGAGAAAAAAGAGTGATAACCACTGTTGAACTTTTGTGTATATACATCAATGTGCTTATTACCTTACTGAAATATTTACCTTTTGTACTAGAATTGGCGAATGTCCACAGAAGGTTCAGTTTGTAATTATATTCAATCTTTTCTCGGAATTTATCAGGCACTGACAATCCTCGAAATATTTTCTGTTGTTCATTGTAACAATTGTTAGCCAACAACCTCTCTATCACACATACTGCCTCCAAAAATTTGGGATTTTTCATGAGTTT